TATGATGTATGTTGGAGTATGACAGTCACCGAGTTGCCGCTCTGATCCCGATTGTATAGCGTCTTCCATCTCATTTAAGGAATAGAATAACGGCTGATTCAGATCATAGACTATTCAAATTTTTTTTTTTTTAAAGAATACTGTATAACTTTAAAAATATTATGTGAAGTATTTAGCATGGAATATTGTTTTCATACAGCAAAAAATAGAAACATTGTAGTGGTCAGTAAGGTGCTACATCATAAAAAGCACACCTACATATTTTTATACTCAGGAATAATGCGCCAAGTGTCACGCTTTTATCACAGACATATTTTTACAATAAAGACATATTTATAGTGTTTTATATCAGTCATGAAGGTTTATGATTATTACACCTCTTTGATGCAGCAAAGCCATAGAAGTATTTATTTCAGCCTAGAGACAACCTATTAACTCATTACCTTCTTTCTGTTTTAGGGCTCTGGGCCTGTACAACGGAGTGCAAGATCCTAGGCCATTCTGACCGCTGTTGGAGTCCTTCGTGTGGCAGACCACCCAATGTTCATCCGCCAGCAGTGCACACAGGGCCGCTTTCAGTTTCCAGTTTTTGTAAAAGCACCTCTTTACCACGTGACCCTTTGCACAGAGATAACTATTACCAGTCATCTCCAGCTCAGACACTCCTACAAAAAGCAGGGGGTTTACAAAATGTCAAAGTGCCACCCAAAGACTATGAAAGCAGGACAATAACGATATCAAGATCTGGTAGACTTCCTGATCTCCAAGAAATCACCATGCCAATTTTTAAGTCCCCTGGCACCACCAGATTCGTCCCGCCGCATGACACTACCTGTGAACAGGATGAACTTTAGTCTAATACAGTTTCACTCCTTTTACCGGTTTTGAAGAACAGCAATCTGTGTAAACGAGACTGCATAACTCTAAGAGTTTTAAGTTATTGACCATTGTTAAAAGATATATATTCTTTATTTAGGTACAAGAAGTCTTACAGCACTTCCTTTGCCATAGTTCAAATAATGTCTATTGGATTATTTATTACAAAGTCTTCCAGTCATAATTATCAAAAGTTTTTAAATATTTTTTTGTTGGAAATTTTGATCTCATTACTTGAGTAACAAATTAATTCCCACTACTAATATTGCAAGTCAGTAGCATGTTTGAACACAGTCAAAGGTGCTCTTCCAGTATTCTAGCTAATGGTAATATACATCGGGCATGAATTATTAAAGGCAAACCCATGTTTACTTCCAACAGCCAATCTGTTCAGGTTTCTCTTTAACCTTAGTGGTCAGACAATTTTTTGGTGATTTACCTGATCTCATGCTTGAAAAGTCTACACACTAATGGCTCCTGAAGCAAATCTGTTTGACGTTGTTCATTCAAGCATACTTCTTTCTGTAGATTTTTAGGTAGGTTTGTGTAGATAATGAAAGTTGGAGATCCAGTTGGTAATCAACCAAGAAACATATATTTTTCTTTTTTTTAAGATACAGCCCAAGTAATAGAACAATCCCTTTTGGTTGCCAGGCAAAAATCCTTTCCATTGATTAAAAAAAACTTCTATATTTTTAAAAATCTGATGCAAAATATTTTGTCAATTTACAGAAGGTAATATATCACCTTTATTTAAAAAAAAAAAAAAAAACCTATTCTGTGTAATGAGAACATTATTATCATCATACCATATGAAATTATATTCTAATTTAATATTTTTGGTTTTCTATTCTCTTTTTGTTTTAACTTTACATAGATACAAATCATACCTTCAATATTTAAGTGTACTTGTACCTGGATAAATAGTGAACAGTGTATGTGTATTTATTATATACATGCACATTTACCCTCACTTAAACAGTGGGAGGAATCTATCAAAATTTGACTCTGGTGTTGCACAGAACGATTCAACCAAACAAGTAAACATTTTTAAACATTCAAACATTTTTAATCAAATTATTCCATGTGAACCCATAGTAATGTGTGCAAAATCTTGATACTTTCCCCCCAATGTGCCTTAAATCAAATAATTGGTGGAATTGCATTCCTGCCAGGTCAATATCATTTGATATTTGCAAACAAATATTGTTTGATGTCTCTGTAATTTTTATGAAATGTGCAGTATTTAATTTTTTTACTGTGTTTTCGCTCTGATCTCACACATGGCTTGCCATTTGGTAGTGATGAAACATGAATACTGTGTACTTGTAATAAGTTTGTAAATATTGGAAAATGTGTTCTATTTTTATATTAAAATGTTCATAAAAATATTGCCAAAGGAACTATGTGTATGGATACAACTTTAGACCTAAAGTCACTTGAAATGTATATCTTACAATGTACATTTTTTTTTTTACAATCATTGAAAAAAACCTGACTTGCAAAGTGTGACTTGTAGTTTATGCACCAGTGGTCCATATAAAATGTTATTGCATTTTTTATTTCCGCAAATGATGTCACCATAAAACACACGAATAAAGTATTTGTGACTTCTGTGAAGCACTTCACTGAAAACTCTGCTCGGCAACACTTTGTCAGTCAGTAAGTCAAGGTGATGAAATCCAGGAAACAGCTAATTTAATTACAGACAGAAAAGTGGGAATCGCATTTTGCTACTTATATATGTGTTTTATTCATAAGGGGTAGGCACTGGGCTTAGTTTGCAAGCTAGTGCTTACTTCAAACATCAATTTAGGTAAAATTAAAGTGGAACTGCATCAATAAGAAAAAAACAAATAATTGTAGCTCTCGCACCAAACATCAATACGCCCCCCCCCCC